GGGTGCTTTCAGAAGAAAATAAAAGAACTCAGGGATGTAGTAACAGTAGGACCTCACAAAATTGAGGAATTGCTATAGGACCCTTGTAGGGGTCCCCACTGTGGTATTCCCTCTTCCTTACATGGATCCTCATGGACTCCCTTGTAGTTTATTATATACCTCCCAAAGTACATCTCCTTCTCTTCATATTGACATTCCTTCAACTTGGCAAATGGCTGGAATGGCATGGTCCTTAAGGACAGCCTGAACCAATTTGGCATGCTGGCTAGGGTCCCAGAAGTAGATGAAGACAGCTTCAAGATAAATCATAGTTCCATCAGTAAGGAAGATCTTGAGCTCTAGTGGCTTCATTTAAGCTAAATCACTGTGGACAGGCCCAGCCAAACCCTCCAGAAATTGATCCACCAGGTCAGGAGTTTTCTATCAAAAGTCTTGGCTTATACTCTGGAGAGGAGCTAGAATATAGTTCCTCTCATCCTTGCTCAAGCTGACTAATTCAGAATTTGGCAATTTCTGAGAGAGTGAGGGGAGTCAACAAACTCCTTGAGATCCTCTAAGAACTCCTATCTGTATTTTCCAAGAGGATGCTATTACCCATTAGGCAAGAGGTGACTTAGTAGGCAGCCTATACTCTTAGGAGGGATACAATAAAAGTCACTTTAGCTTAAACTGTGGTGTTTCCTTAAGAGTAGAGATGCATGACTAATTTGTACTGGGCCAGAAACCTGTCTGCATGTGAAAAGTACCTTGCAGAACTATAACTACAGTGGGGTTGCTGAGAACTCCTGGAAGTGATTCCAAAGCTAGGAAGTTCACATGTGATCTATCAGGTCAAATATTATTATGACTGCAGGAGGCCACTTGGGGATGTCATTCATTTCATGACTTTCCTGTCCAAGACAACCTTTTTTTCATGATTTCATTGACCTGACCGTGGACCCTCCTTATTCTGCTGCATCAGCATTTCTGTAGAACCAAACACCAAATAAGGTGTATATCATGGGTACTAAGGGAAGAATGAAGACAATAAGTGCCCCATGAATTCAGAGGAAGGAAAGATCACTTTGTGTTTGAGTTTTCAAGGAAAGCTTCCATGGAAGTGGTAGGACCAGAACATATAAAATTATATAATACGTAAAATCATGTATAAAATCATCTGGTAGATCCAAAGAACTGGTGGGAAGAAACATTTCATAATGCTTCCCCAACTAGACTCACATGGCCATATTTTCCTGAATTACACAATCTGAACTGAAGCCCACTGATCATTTTGAGTACCACGGGAGGGGCAGTGTATTCTATAGACACTCAGTCTCACTAAAGGATGGCTAAGTTCATAAAGTTCAAAGAGGTCTTGAGGAGTCCACTGAATGTTGTGGAACCCATGATGCCAGGTGTTGAGGATGGTTCAATGTTGAGAGGGTATGAGCATGTGGGTTGTAGGGTGGCCTGTAGGGATGGGTTGCCCTGTGGGGTTTGGTGGGCTGGGAGTTCTCTTCATACTCACATTTCTCCACCTTGGCAAATGGCTAGAATGGTATGGTCTTCTTACCCATAGAATGAGTTAGGCTCAGTATGGCCCTGCTCTGGGCTTGTGTTTGGAGCCTCAGTTGTAGGAGTCAACCAGATGCAGGATATCTTGAGGTGCTCAAGCTCACCCATGTCAGCGGTTATGGTAATATAGCTTGGTTTGGAGGAAAGATGGGGGGCACAGTGAAGCATTTACCAGCACAGGAAAAGGGAGTCTTTGTAGTCACACTGACAGTTGAGTAGACCCTAACTGGGAATTCTAGTACTGGGAAAGATTCAGTTGAGTTAAGCTGGGTGTAAGGAGAAAGAGATTTGGAGACACTGCCAAGATGCTTTGTATCACTGTTACCATTGAGCTTGGGTGACCCATAAGGTATGGGTCCCCAGGGCAGGATCTGTAGGGAATGATAAGCCACAGGAGAGGGATGTGATGACAGCAAGATCCTTGGGAGGAAAGAGAATGGACTGCAGGAAGGAAACTGCTCTCACCAAATGCCAGTGCCCTGGAAAGGGGAAGTCTACCCCTGCCCCCCATTTTCCCGAGGCATGTTGTTGCTTGGCAACAAAGCCCCAGTCAACGTCTATTATTTAAGTCTCTAAAAATGAGTCAGGTTAGTTTGCTAGCAACTCATCTCTGGCCTACTTCATCACAAATAAACATGACTAAGCCTTCAAAAAATGATCAACCAGATGTATTACAAGACAAAGTTTGACTTAGGGGCCTGAAAGAGGCTGACATGTTCTACGAAGGGTGGTTTCACATTTTTTCTTGAGTTCCTGGAAGAAATAATCCAATAGATGCCTATTTCTTCATGAGGTAGGGAGTAAGTAAGAAACTTGTCCAACCAGGTAAAGTATTGCAAAGGCCACTTTGTTCCAAGATGTGGAGTATTCCTGGGAGCGGGAATCCATAAACTTGTATTAGGCCAGAAAACCTGGTAGGTCCTTTGTCTGCCTGCAGAACCATTTTAGCAGCCTCCGTGGTGGAACTGGTAGGCAGAGCAGAGCAGCTGGTTCCAAACTGCTGTAGGAACCAATTTGTTTATTTCCTGGAAGACATGGATCTTACTGGGCCCTATTTCTGCAACTGTAAAATGGGAGAGTTAGGTCTTTTTATTTTGTGTTAAGCAGAATTTATTGAATCTCCATCACGGAGGTGGTTAGGGGGAAGTAACAAGAGATAACCAACTTGGTGGAAAAGGAGGTGTTTCAAGGTAGAACACAGAAAAAGGAATACAGAATACTGTACTTGGATCAAAGCTAAAAGAGTTTTGAGAAGGAGCAAATTCAGAGTTGCGAAACTGTAGATCTCATATCCTATTAATACACGAGCAAAATTTGTTTTGAAGCAATAAGGGACTATTAGCCTTAGGGGCAGCTAGGTGGCACAGTGGATGGAGTGCTGGGCCTGGAATCAGGAAGACCTGAATTCAAATCTGACCTCAAACACTTACTAACTGTGCAAGTCACTCAACCCTATTTTCCTCAGTCAGACATGACTGAAATGGCTGAACAATATTAGCCTTGACTTTTAACTTCATTTCTTATCTTTTTTTAAATTTTGTTTTTAGGCTAAACTAAAATCACTTATATTCCTAATTATTTTATTTTTCCTTTTTCCAGTGCTAGCTTTAATGTAGTCAAAGTTTTTTTTCCCCTAAATATTCACTGTAATCAATAATTTTTACCTTCATTAAAATCTCATCATTCCTTTAGGATTTTTAGTGAAGCTGATAATGTCATCTGAAATGTAAGATGATTGGGGAACTTAGCTATTTGGGTAGACTTTTCTTCTCATTTGACTGTTAGGGAGATCTTTTCCAGAGACTAGGAAGTTAAGTATTTTGGGTAGATATTTCCAGTTATTCTAATCACTCTCCTTGTCAAACATAAATGCCAACTTGACTGCACTTTTTTTTTTTAAACACAAAAATTATAGTAATATGAACTGAACCTTTGGAAATGAAAACGAAACTTCAGTCACTAACATGAAGGTCTTGCTTCAGGAATCAGAAATGTAGGTTAAACAGAGAACAGCAGATGAAGCCACTATTCTCTAGTGCCTTGCTAATTCTTATAGCACAAATTGTGGCTGGTGAGCAGAAGTGAGCTCCGGATTTTGAACTCCTGAGGGATGTACGATGACTATTAAGTGTGCCCTCTTGGGAAGGTGGATCTATAAAGAAGGCACTAGAAGGCATAAAATCCCATCAGTGTGCCCCATGAAAAACAAGGATTAAACAGGTATGAGAAAGGGATAATGAAATCCAGAGACCTCTTAATTTCGTTGCATTCAAATCAACAAACGTTTAGGTGCCAACTGTATACCAAGTATTGTGGGTCCAAGACAAGTAAACAAGAAACTGAACAGTCCCTACCTTCAAGAAGTCTTGGTTATATTTGCATTCATCTTGGAATAGAATGGAGGTTCCTGGATTTTGCGATAGGGAAGACCTGGTAAAACCTGCCTCAAACATTTCTTAGCTATGTTGTATGACACTGCAAATCATTTAGCTCCTCTGGATCCCAGTTTTTTCATCTGTAAATGAAAGGGTTGGTCTAGATGACCTCTGTGACTTCCAGCTCAAAATCCATGATGCTGAATCTATATTAGTCAATCAATCAACCACTTGATCAAGCACTTCTACCCTCTGCTGAGTACTGGGGGACAGAAAGACAAATGAAATTGTCCTCATGGAACTTCTGTTCTATGGGATACAGACTCCTAAGCTGAGGTCTGTGAACTAGTGTTTTAATATTCTGATAACTACATTTCAATATAATTGCTTTTCTTTGTAATCCTATGTATTTTATATTGTGCATTTAACATGTTATTCTGAGAAAGGGATCCATATACTTCACCAGATTTGCCAAGGAAGTCCGTGACATCCCCCACCCCCCATTAAAAAAAAAGGTTTGAGAATTCCTGCTATAAGGGGTCACTTATCTCAATCCCATTGGTAAGGTGAAAACATAATCGGGGAAGGTGATAATATGATTTATTATGTGATCATCGAGGAACTTTGAAAGCAAAATGAAGTCTAAGGAAATAAAGAGGTAAGATAGGGGAAACTTTATGCCAGAAAGGAAGCAAAAGCTAGACACGTATTCATCATTTTAGTAGAAATACAACCTTCCGGAGCTGAAAAGCACAGGCAGGTGAGAGCAATGCAAGAGGGAAAGACCCTGAGCTGTTACAAAGTGCAGGACCGTAGTCCAATTTGATAACAAGAATGTGTTTTCTGTGCAAAAGCAATAACGATGGGGCAATCCTGGGATCACAGAGAGCTCTTTCTGGGGCCTCACCACCACTATCTAGGTGGGTTCATTGGGCCACTGTTTCTCCACTCCCCAGCACACTTGAGACAAAGATAGGAAGTCCCCCTCCTCCTTAAAAGTGCTTTGTCATTTCTTCTCACTTAACTGAAATTCCAACCAGGGTTCAGGAAATGCCCTAATGAGCTACTTCTCTTTTCTCTCTCCTGAACTAAGTGGATTCAAACAAGACCATGCTATACATTATTCATGGTCCAGTTTTGAGCGGTGGTTTGTTTCTTTCTCCTGTCCCTTTTTGCATGCTGCTGCTTATGTTCTGGTGGCAGGGATTATGAGTCGATGCTGCTTAGTTGAAGTGATAACAGTGATAGAAATCCAATCAGTGCCGGTAGGTATCTGAACTGGCCGGTTAATTTTCTGTACTTTTAAATAAACTGATGACCATTCTAATCAATACCTGTTTTCTCTTGTTGCAATATGTGGCTTGCTTGTAATTCAGGGATCGTATTGAATGTCAAGTAGGCAACTGGATATTAGAGTTGTCAAGCTGTGATTTCCTATAATTTCTGTTACAATTGATCTTGTAAGTAGCTTTGGGTTTCTTGGCATAATCAAGAATGTGGTGATCTCTAGATACTTAAGATTTCTGGTTACTGAAGCAATTTCTTTTCTTCCATTCTGATGTTTACAGGTCTTTGGTTTCTGAAAGGGGAAAATTATTTGGCATTTCATTTGTGGCAGTACAATTTATAGATGGTAATTTATGTTTACATGTTCATTACTATGTATCCTTCTGAAATTTATTTTGATGAATTTCTAAAGTATTTAACACCTGGAGATATATATATATATATATATATTTTTTTTTTTTAAACCTTGGGACATATAGCAACAGACTACTGTACAGTAATAGCAATATGCTTTTAATCTAGAGAGTAAGATTATTGTTGTAATTGAAGAAGTTTTAAATTAAAATGTTATGGTTAGGAAATAACTTTTGCTAGAAGTACAAGGAATTTAAAAAAAATTAATAAGGGCAGTTTACAGTATGTTTTGAAATTTCTTTGTTGTATGATACCTAGGGCCTGTCATATCTATTACAAATATTACTATTTCCCCAGAATTTCTGATTTGAAATGTCAATTTTAGGGCTTCAACAAGAAACCCAAATCCAAACCTGAGGTAATGGTTAATTTCTCTTGGGTGATTTAGTCATTTATTTACTATAGACTTCACTAAATGTCTAACTTTATAAGAAACTTCAAGAATTTTCTCTCCCAAGTCAACAGAGGCAAATGGAAACAGAAGGTTGAGGTTTTTATCTGGAAAATTTAGAATCCCTTTGAACTTGGATTATGAGTCTGAGTTAATATATTAAAAACAACTCCTTCAAAATGCTTTTTAAAGAGTTATACATTTTTTATCCTTTATTAGGGAGTTACTTTTAAAAGATCCCCAATTTGCCAATTCATTTTTTACAGTAAAAGATCTTCACATATTTAAAATCAGTATTTCCTGGTAGTAACTGATTTGTATAGCTAGTTCTTTGAACCTTGCAAAGTGCTTTATATGCTTTGTCATTTCAGCCTCACACCCACTGAATGTTACAGGTGCTGTTATACCCAATTTACAGCTGAGGAAACTGGTTAAATGACTTGACCAGGGCCCACTGTCTCAGGCAGTTTTTAAAGCCAGGTCTTCCTAATTCCAGGTCAAGCACTCTCTCTGCTGGATGAGGCTGCCTCTAAAGTTTGCCTTTTAATTTGTTTGACTGTTAAATTCTTAGTTTCATGAGTAGTAAATCACGTAATTCTAGAAACCGGTAACTTTTGTTGAACTGAAACTTGGAATTGGTAGTTAAAAGAAATGAAACAAGCGGAATAATATTCTTGAAAGTAGTCTTGACTATTTTTTTCTGTGGCACAACAGTTTGCTATGTCTCTTTCTCAATAACTGAGGGGGTTAAAAAGATACTTGAATATGGTAAATACAGTTAGAAAAAAGAAAAGGTTTAAAGGAAAGGGCTATTGTTGCTTGGTATGGGAGAGAAAACAAGTTAGGCACAAATACTTTCAATTAAGAAAAGGTGATTAGGAGTGAGAAGAAGGTAGGGAAGGAAGCAAGTTCATCTGATAATCTCAAAGAATACTCACACCTCTAGAGCTGGAGGAATCTTCAGAGGCCATGTAATCCAATCCTTTGATTTTACAGATGAGGAAACTGAAGCTAAAACAGGCTAACTTACCCTAGGTCACACAGGGAGTAAACTTGAGGAGTGGGATTTGAAGTCAGATCCTCTGACTCCAAAACAATGCTCTTTCCATTGTACCATGAGATAAAATACTTTGGATTGAAATGATGGCTAAATTTGTCATGAAATTTTTTTTTTGGCAAATAGATACGAAGTGAGAAATGAAAATACATCAATCAATTAAAAAAAATGAAACTCCATAGTTTCTGGGCCTGATATAAAAGTAGTCTAAATCAGATGGTTCTGCCAGATAACAAATTTTTAAAGAAAAAAACACATTCCCCAGTGAAAAATTGAACTGACTAGTAGAGTAATAAAAGGCTTATAAAGCCAATGATGTAATATGATTGCAAAAAATAAAACAAATAGGAAAGATGATCTGAAATTTGGGGCTCCTTTAAGCTGGGGGCTATCATGAGTTATGTAATGTACAAAGCAATTATATTTAGCTGCTTCTTTAACTGTAGGAACAGCAAGAGTCCTTTTAGCTGCAGAATGATAGGGTGGTGCTCAGCAAAGTAACAGGAATAATCAATAGTAGAGAAAATATGGGCCTATGAGGAGAGTTTGGAACAGCAGTACTCTGGTTCATTTTAGGAAAGGGATAGGAGAAGAAAAGACATTCTTGTAAGCTCCA